GTAACATTTTAAGAGACAGCTAAAAGCATCATTTCTTTCTTCGTTAAGCATTTTTGTGCCAGCATTACAAGCAGAGGTAAAGGGATGGGGCACCACGTTGCTCTCAAGGAGCTCAGCACGTAGCACAGGAAACAGACAAGGAACCAGTGTTAAGTCAGGAGTGACAAGCTGCAGGTTAGATACCTGCACAAAGCAAGACATGATCTGGGCATGGGTTTGTTTCCCTCCCCCAAACATATTATAGACTATGGAAGGACTGAATCCTGCCCTGAAGAAAAATCACTGGATCAGCATCTTTTTGTTTTTCTCCCATATCCCCAATTCTTCTTCTTCTTTTTCTCCCTCTTTCCTCTTGATTCCAAAATTTTATTTTACGATGTAAACATTCTGTGACTTTGAACTACTTCTTGAACTTGGAACGTCAAGCTACAGGTGAATTTTGTATCTCATTCCTAAGCTGAAAATCTACTTGTCAGATTGGTGCCTAAGATTAGTTAAAATTTCTATTCAAGCTTAATATTCTTATTTCCTAAGGCCTGCTGAGTACCTTCAGAGGAAATTCGAAGCTCAACAATATAAGGTGAAGGTGGAAAAGCAATTGGTAAGCAAAATACCAAATATGGGAAGCAATCAGGAATTTCTTAATAGTTTCTCTGTTCACAGGCACTCATGGATACTTAAGTCAAAGTTCATTCCACTAAAAGGTCAAGACTACCCTCCACCCTTCCCCTGTTTTTAATAACTACAGAACGATAGTGGGAACAGGCTTGAATCAGAGTCTGGGGAGCCCGGTTTCTTCCCTGGCAATATTAATTGCTGTGTGGACTTGGGCAGTTCATGCAACCTCTCTGAGCCTCAGTTTCCTTTTCTGTAAATGATAGTTTTGGAGTAGATGAGTTCCAAGGTCCCTTTCAGTGCTGCAGTGTTTTGATTCTATTTTATTAAAGAACCTTCTACACAATTTTTTAAAAAGTGACTGTGTACTTTATTTAAATTGGATGTTAACCTTTACCCTCAAGTACCATGTCAGAATTCTGGGGCTGAGAGAGGCTAGATATGGATCTTACTTGTATCACTCTTATTTTGAACTGTCCAAAACCTGCAGTTCTAGTCTCATGAACTTATGCTTTGGGGCCGCTAGACCTTTTCAAAGCTTCAATTTCACAATTATAATTTTCCAATTCAGAAAATGAATCTAGGTGTCTCAGATGATAACAGAAGACATCAATTGCTCAGTATAATTCTCATGAACTTATGCTTTGGGGCTGCTAGACCTTTTCAAAGCTTCAATTTCACAATTATAATTTTCGAATTCAGAAAATGAATCTAGGTGTCTCAGATGATAACAGAAGACATCAATTGCTCAGTATAAACAACATAAATGGCTTAATTAATTTTTAGAAACTGTTTAACATTTCATACTTGAATTAAGAAAATTCTACTATTTACCGTTAAAAGAAACCCTCCAAATACTGAGTGTGCTTGGTGATATAATTCTTGTTTATAGGAAAAAGTCAAAGTAAAATCAGAAGACGTTTCCAAAATGCAAGTATGCCTTATAAATTATTTCATTCAATAAATAGGGTCTTCGTCCATCTTCAGCTGAGCCAAATCACAACCAGAGACAAGAACTAAGAAGTGGTGGAGAAGAGCCTAGATTCCAGGAGCTGCAGATTAGGAAAAACAGAATGAAGGAACAGGTTAAAAACAGTCTAATTCCAGGACTACCATTTTGCTTGTGTCATTGTCTTTTGCACTGTAATGGGGTGTTGCTTCTGTCTCCTACCGAGCACCTAAGAGGGTCTGTTGCACAAATGCTTGTTGGACACACTAAATATATAAAGCACCATACTGGGTGTTGTAGGGGATACAGAGTTATGTATGACTGTGTATTTTACCTTCTCAGAGAATGCAACATAGCTAAGTTTATAAGGCTTTTTACTTTGTATGGATAAAGTAACTGTCCATCATTAACATATTTACAATTTGTATTAGTTTCCTAGGGCTGTAACAAAGTGCAACAAACCAGCTGGCTAAAAATCACAGAAATTTCACAATTCTGGAGGCTGGAAGTTCAAAATCAAGGTGTCAGCAGTGCCATACTCTGAAACCTATAGGGGAATCCTTTGTCTCTCCCTAGCTTCTGGGTTTTTTGGGCAGTGTTTGGCATAATTCCATTCTCTCTGCCTTTGTCACATGAGCTCTCCTTGTCTGTCTTTGTCTTCACATGGCCATCTTATTATAAGGACAATCAGTCATATTGAACTGGGAACCCACCCTACTCCAGTATGACATCATCTTAACTAGTTACATCTGCAGTGACCCTATTTGCAAATAAGGTCATATTCTGAAGCACGGAGGGTTAGGACTTCCACATATCTTTTTTGGGGTGGACAAAACTCAACCCATAACAGGATTATATATAAAAATGGGGTATGTAAAGTAACTGAATATCATTAACCCACTGAGCGTATAGGAGAAGTGAGATCTGTATTTCAAGCTACTGTATCCCTCCCAGGACATGAAGTACCATAGCCCAAACATAAGGCCAATTATCATCTTTAGGAGCAACAGGTTTTCTAATTCTTATTTTATATTACACATTTAAAAAGTTGTGAGTGGTATAGAGATTATTTTTGTTAAGTTGTTCACAAATATTTAAAGTTTTTGGATTGGATTTGCTTTCCAGGAATATTGGAAGCAGCTAGAGGAAAAACGCCAACAGTACCACAATGACATGAAGGAAATTAGAAAGAAGATGGGAAGAGGACCAGAGGTAAATTCATTCTCCCAGAGGAAGCATCGTCCTACTGGTGTAGAACTAACTGAATTGAGCAGGCATTAAAAGTAATGATCTCATAGAAAAGATAAAGTTTTATTGTAGAGATAATCATGCAAAAATGTTTTAAAATAGGAAAGCTGTCAGACCTAATTGAAGCTTTACTTTGTTATGGTTTACTGGAGACAAGATGACGAGGATATGTGAAATACTCAG